CACACACACACACACACACACACACACACACAGTAAACAAAGGGATATCGTACACAGGGCAGCGCAGGTCATGTGATCAGATTAAATATATGTATCTGCTGGGATTAATGCTCGTCCAGCTTCGGTCCAAACCGGTCACTTTGAATGTTTTTGTCTGAATTCTGGGTTAGGGGTTAACATTCTGGGAACTTGTATATATTTGTCAGGATTTCGGAAATGTTTAGATAAAAGACCGGACCTTGCAAAATACATCCAGGGCCAGTTCATGTGCATATTTATATCAAAAACACAACTAGAATAAGAATTAATTGGTTGTATTTCTCAATAACCTATATTTATATTTCTTGATTTTTCTAATATTTTCTTTTGTCTTGAATTCTAACTTCTCTTTCTGTATCTATATCATGCTCAAATACACCCACGCATATTCCTTATACATAAAAAACTACATGATTTGCCTCAAAAATAGGTTTTCCAGTTATTATCCACGTTTTTTTAAAGCGGGGTACTTTCATCCAGGGTCTGGGGTATAATCAGAGGTCATTTCGGCACCTGATGTCGTACACAGGGCTGCGCAGGTCATGTGATCCGTGGGCGAAGGCGCAGTGCGACCCGTTTTTACTGCAGTGGCCCTTGGAGTCCGTCTCGTGGATACAGGAGCCGGTTTTATAATATCGGAGGTGATATCTGCGCTCTGTGTCGCCCGCCGTCCGGTGCAGAAACGGGCATCTGGAGGACAGGAAACAAAGAAACACCACATGGGGTTCAACAGAGAAGAAGAACTTTAAGGGGAATAATGGACAGAATATATATGTTCAAATACATAACACAGTATTCATGTGTTAATAAGAGCCCAATTTTCGAGTAAATTCAAGTTGGAAACATTTTCTAACAAATCTAAGTTGATAAGAAAAACGCCCAATAACTTATTTTCATAACAAGCTTGAAATAAAAAATGTAATTTAAAAAGAAATAGTAACAAAAAAAGGTTATATTAAAGGTCACCTATCATGCTTTGTAGGCAATAGCATAGGTCTCAGATATAATATATAAAAAACATGTCTATGAAGTGTTTTGCTCAAAATACCAAACAGATCACCCATTCTAGCCATGCCTCATATCCTTCTGTTTCACTTCCTGCTTCTAAAGTGCTGATTCTGGGATAAACCTTTCATAAAAAAGGAGGGGGCTGAGCTCATGCGGGACCCGGCAGCTACTGGCTAAACTAAATGCTGCCGTGATGAAACGCCATATCATGGATTATCAAGGATTCTCTCTGAAACAGTATGGAGCTCAAAGGCTTTCTCTCTTGCCAGTTATACCACAAGGTGACTTCCTTTTTACTTCCTGCTTCTTCACACACATGCTCTCCAGTACAGGTTAGCTCTGAGTGTTAGCGATGCTAATGTCAACACCGACCATATTACGTCCAAAACAGTCAGGCATTGTTTCTGATAGCAACGTTTCTGATAGGGCCGTGGGTCCACATTTCAGATATTACGTCATATCGGACGCAAATCTGGATCA